CCAGGTGTATTTATCCATGTGCTGGGGAAGAAAATCGCTAACAATCTGCAGCACGTAAGATTTTGTTTCTGCTTGCACAGCACTTGATCAGTGTAATTCTCATCAATCAGTTGAAGAGTTTTCCAAAAGGAAAAAAAAGTTTTTGCACTCTGCAAACCTCCCAAAAATGGTCTGTTTTTTGTGAAAACGCCCCCCCCCCTTTTTTAAAAAAAGGCATGGATAGCCTTGGGAGCTTGCAGAGTGCTCCTGCGGCCTGTTTTTTGTCAAAAAATTTGCATGCATAGCCTAATGGAGGCTTATAGAGTGCTGCTGGGGATTGGAGAGGCTCATTTCTGCCTACCCAGCCCCCAGGATCTCTCTGAAAGCTTCTATAAGGGTATGCATGGCCATTTTGGTGAAGGGGTGGGGCTTCGGGAGGCAAAAAATGTTGTATTCGATGTATAAGATGCACCCAGATTTTCAGCCTCTTTTTGAAGGAGAAAGGTGCGTCTTATACTCCGAAAAATACATTATATTTTCCCTCCTGGAATATATTGTCAATTGTCCTAGAGTTATGTGTCATATTCTGAATCTCCAGAAAAATTTATGGGACTGCTAGAGGCTGTATCTAAATACTTTAGAAAGTAGAAATTATACATAGACATTATATATCCCTTATCTAAATCTTATGAGCATGCATTGTTAGACCATGAGCAGTTACATGACAATGATCTCAATGATCATATCCAAAATACAGTGCAAAACATTCCAGTTTTCCTAATGATTTTTAACTGATTTCAGATATATATCTTGAGCATAAGAATTACATACACCAACTCCATCAAGAAAAATTGAATTCAATTATATAAGAATAGTCAACATAATTATCTCTAATTTAAGCAAAAATATATTCTTACCATAATCATTTAACTAGCTGTTCAAATGCAGGAAGCTGTACCACAAAAACTGTTAATTTTTTATGGTTACCATTTGAGATACTGTAACTCTGCCACAAGTCACTTTTTTTCCTTGTCTCTTTTTTATATAAAAAAATCATCTGATTATATTCCCTGCATCTAAAGTAGCAGGCTGTAATCCACAATATTTCTAAGCCAATGAAATGGTGAAATAAATTATGTAAAAAGATTCAGGACTATGCCTATCAGTTGAATACTTTTCAAAAAGCAGAAATGAAGGAGACAACACTTGGTGTTTTGGCAGAAATCAGCAAGACAGTGTTACAACTCAAAAGCAGATTGAATTCAACCAAGCTATGAACATGATAATAATCTATAATAGCAATAGCAGCAATAGCAGTAGACTTATATACCGCTTCATAGGCCTTTCAGGCCTCTCTAAGCGGTTTACAGAGAGTCAGCATATTGCC